TCACTAATGGACTCGCCACATCTCTTCATCTGGTTAGTAATACTCAGAATTTTAGTGAAATAATCACTAACCTTATCACTATCCTCCATTTGTGCCAGTTCGTATTGTCTCCGCAGCGTCTGGAGTTTCACTTTTCTGATTTTCTCTCCCCAGAATGACAGCGTACCAATATCTCCCACGCTTCTCTAGCCGTAGATGCATTTTGTATCTTCTCGAAATGCATATCATCCACACATTGGTGAATGATCAGCAAGGCTTTATCATCTTTCTTTCTTAGTATCTCCTTCTGATCATCTGAACCACGGAAATCACTCATGGAATTATCTCCTTCTACCACACTGCTCACATCTTGAACACGAAACAACACGCGCATTTGCGTACTCCACCTACTCCAATTCTTGTCGGTGAGTACAGGAAGGTTTGTCGTAGAAAAATCAGCCATGGTCCACCCTTCTTCTCTGTCCAAGAACTTCTTTCTTGATCGTTCTAAACCACTCACAGTCATCCGTACTGTACTCGGAAACGATACCCCTTAGGTCCTCTTTCAACCTGGGCTCTGGATACCACTGTAAGAGAATGCAGAGTATGGAATACTGATAGGGGATATCATAACAGAAAAATGAATACGTGAAAAATACTTGAATGTATTGAAGTGATAAAAGTAAGTAATATAACAGTGTTTTATAGCAAACGAAAAGTAACAGAATTAACTGTATAACAGCTTGAGTTTAAACACCTAACAGTTTTATCTTTGATCGATGTTTGGTCTTATCTCTAATCGATGTTTGGTCTTATCTCTGATCGATGTTTGGTGTTATCTCTGGTCGATATGTGATTTCCAACCGAAAGTAACTGTGGATTGTAGAACACTCAGAAGATTAGAGATCCTTGCTGAACAGAGGTAGGAGAGCTAAACCATTTCTGTTATTCAGTGTAGAACTCATGCTTAGCTTGAAACTTTCAGTTTGAGTATGTAAATCTGGCCATGTTGTGACTGTGATATGAGTGTTATTTATCTGGCTTATTCTGGGAGATGCATGCTATGTTGTATGAAAGACTTAGCCTAATGGTATGATTCTCATGTGCTTATAATGTTTGTAAAACTTGGAATGATGATGAATTTCCATTATCAATTTGGATCTCACGATTCTGATGGAGAGAGTATACGGTTGTTGTATAATAATTCCTTGAACCATGCTATAATCATTCCAAGGGAGAATCCTTTCCTCTTAATAATCACGAAGGCCCTGTCAGATTGGCCATACCAAAGTGCTCTTTCCCTTTTAAAATTTTAATACCCACTTTAGGTAGCTTGACCACTGAATTCTATTTCTTTAACTACTCAAATTTGCAATCAATGACTTTTCAGTACACTTTTATCATGACCGTGAGAATAATTCCTTTTAAAATTTTCCAATGAAATGAACTTACAGTGGTGGTTGCAACAAATTTTCTTATTATATTATATAACAAATTTTCTGGTTATATTATATATATGTATATAAATATATTTGTGATGATTCNACGCAAACCATATGGAAACAAGATTCCATAGTTAGTTGTCCCTTTTACGTATCTTAATATCCTTTTGGCAACCACCATATGACTCTTCTTTGGATTTCCCATGAAGCGACTCAGAAGGCCTACACTAAACATCAAGTCAGGCCTACTATTACATAGGAATCGTAATGAGCCAATAACCTGTTTGAAGATCGTTTCATTCACTCCTTCTTCAGTCTCATCTAACTTCAGCTTGGTATTTACTTCAAGAGGACTTCTAACATCATTGCATGATGCCATCTTGAACCTTTCCAATAACTTTTTCATGTATCTTTGTTGATGCATCAACAATCCTGTTGCTGTCTGAGTAAATTCCATGCCCAAGAAGTAACTAAGCTTCCCGAGATCAGTCATTTCGAACTCAGATTCCATCATTTGCTTGAACTCGTCTATCTCCTTTAGGCTTGATCCAGATATCAACAAATCATCTACGTACAAGCAGACAATCATCCTGTTGCCATCAGTACTTTCCCTTACATACACACCATGCTCCACAACACATCGTTTAAACCCATGATCAAGGAAAAACCCGTCAATCCTTCTATTCCATGCTCTTGGAGCTTGCCGCAAGCCATAGAGAGCCTTATGAAGCTTGTACACTTGCTGCTTCTTATTCCCTCTGTTAAATCCTGGAGGTTGTTGAACATAGACTTCCTCCTCCAGTGGTCCATGCAAGAACGCAGATTTAACATCAAGTTGAATCATAGACCATCTTTTAGCACAGGCAATAGCAATTACTACACGAATTGTTTCTAACCTTGCTACTGGAGCGAACACCTCTGTAAAATCAATTCCTTGTCTTTGCAAAAATCCTCTTGTCACAAGCCTAGCTTTGTGCTTTAAAACAGTGCCATCTGGATTCAGCTTTCGCTTGAAAACCCACTTCAATCCAATGCATTGCTTTCCATGTGGCAGATCGACCAAACTCCACGTTTTATTCTTCTCGATGGATTTGAGTTCTTCAATCATGGCTTCCTTCCATTCGGTTTCTGCCATAGCTTCATCTACATCTATTGGTTCAGTTCCAGCCATTAACACCATGTGAACCAGATCACCTTCATCACTCACACCAGTATCCGTATATAACTCGTAATATGAAAATCTGGGTGGTCTTGTAGACTGTCTTCTAGGTCTCCTTAGTGTATCATCACTATTAGCACCATCAACAACTTTCTTATCAGTTGCATCTGATATCTCAGTCACCATCGACACTTTCTTAATATTGGTCTGCCCTTTCTCCTAATCCCAACTCTCATCTTCTAGAACTACTACATCTCTGATGATCACCATTCTGCCTTTGTTAGGATCGTAGAGCTTATATGCCCCTGTCGGATGATATCCCACGAGAACCATCGCCTCTCCTTTATCTTCAAGCTTCGATCTCCTCTGATCTGCAATGTGGCTAAAAACCAAAGATCCAAACACTCTAAAATGACTCACACTTGGTTTCGTACCTGTCCATGCCTCGAGTGGAACTTTGCCTGTGAGTCTCTTGGTAGGACACCTGTTCAATATATGAACAGCTGTTGACACAGCTTCACCCCAGAGATTTCGTGGCAAGCACTTATCACGCAGCAAACACCTGGCCATGTTCATAATTGTCCTATTTCTCCTTTCTACCAAACCATTGTGCTGTGGAGTGTATGGTGTTGTTACTTCATGATTGACTCCACTGTCTTGACAGAATTGTTCAAATGCATGAGACGTATACTCACCTCCTCCATCGGTTCTAAGTATTTTAATGGTTCTTCCACTCTTTGTTTCTACCTTAATCTTGAACCTCTTGAATGTCTCAAGTGCTTCACTCTTCAGCTGTATCAGGAACACCCAAACCATTCTACTAAATTCATCAACAAAAGTGATAAAATACCTATTTCCAGCCAAGGTCGACACTTCCATAGGGCCACATATATCGGAGTGCACCACATCAAGACATCCTTTGGATCTCATCTCCAGTCTCGCTTGAAATGGTCTTCTGCTTTGTTTTCCCACAATGCAAGATTCACACACGTTTTCTGGTATACTGGTTTCTGTCATTCCAGAAACCATACCTTTTCCACTTAGCTGCCTTAAATCCTTAAAGTTTAGATGGCCAAACCTTAAGTGCCACTTCCAGGTATCATCATCCTTTACAGTAGACAAACACTGCCAGCTTCCTACTGCATCCACATCCATACACACTTGAAATGTTCGAATTTTAGAAATCTTGCTTCTCAAGATCAACACTTTATTTTTATCAAACACTTCTACTTGATCACAGCCTCCCATAACAACTGTAAATCCTTTCTCAACAAGTTGTCCAAGACTTAGCAGATTGCATTTCATTGCTGGCACAAGTAGAACATCTTCTATGATAGCATGTGAGCCATCTTTTCTCCGTTTAACCACATTTCCCATTCCTTCTACTTGGAGTGTGCTGTTATCTGCGAATCTGACCCTACTCTTCTTTGATTCATCTAATCTGACCAGTCACTCCTTGTTGCATGTCATGTGATTTGAGCACCCCGAGTCCAAATACCACGATTTCACAAATGATTGTGAATTATCAGTTGTTGTTGTCACCATCAACATCAATGGTTCTGAATCAGAGTCCTCTTGAGCTAGATACGCCTCCTTGTTTTGTTGTTTCTTCTTCTGTTTACCTTTATTTGAGTAACATTCGAATGCGTAATGCCCCATCTTATGACAACTAAAGCATTCTACATTCCTTCTATCTTTCTTCTTTATGTTCTTTTCAGAACCACTCTTGCCTTCAGGACATTCAACCTTTTCATCTTGCTCATTTGCATTATACTCATTTTTCCATTTTCCTTTCGCTGGTTTTCCTTTCCACTTCTTGAACTTCTTTTTCTCTTCATTTCTGACATACAACGCCTTGAGTGCTTGCTCATCATTCTTTATGGGATTTCGGTCTACCAATCTCATTTCATGTGCCGTTAAGGAACTTTGTAGTTCCTCAATCTTCATCTTCTCTATATCTTTTGATTCTTCAATGGCCACAACAATGTAATCGAACCGCTGACGTAGAGACTGCATAATCTTTTCAACTATCATAAAATCACTAATGGACTCGCCACATCTCTTCATCTGGTTAGTAATACTCAGAATTTTAGTGAAATAATCACTAACCTTATCACTATCCTCCATTTGTGCCAGTTCGTATTGTCTCCGCAGCGTCTGGAGTTTCACTTTTCTGATTTTCTCTCCCCAGAATGACAGCGTACCAATATCTCCCACGCTTCTCTAGCCGTAGATGCATTTTGTATCTTCTCGAAATGCATATCATCCACACATTGGTGAATGATCAGCAAGGCTTTATCATCTTTCTTTCTTAGTATCTCCTTCTGATCATCTGAACCACGGAAATCACTCATGGAATTATCTCCTTCTACCACACTGCTCACATCTTGAACACGAAACAACACGCGCATTTGCGTACTCCACCTACTCCAATTCTTGTCGGTGAGTACAGGAAGGTTTGTCGTAGAAAAATCAGCCATGGTCCACCCTTCTTCTCTGCCCAAGAACTGCTTTCTTGATCGTTCTAAACCACACACAGCCAGCCGCACTGCACTCGGAAACGATACCCCTTAGGTCCTCTTTCAACCTGGGCTCTGGATACCACTGTAAGAGAATGCAGAGTATGGAATACTGATAGGGGATATCATAACAGAAAAATGAATACGTGAAAAATACTTGAATGTATTGAAGTGATAAAAGTAAGTAATATAACAGTGTTTTATAGCAAACGAAAAGTAACAGAATTAACTGTATAACAGCTTGAGTTTAAACACCTAACAGTTTTATCTTTGATCGATGTTTGGTCTTATCTCTAATCGATGTTTGGTCTTATCTCTGATCGATGTTTGGTGTTATCTCTGGTCGATATGTGATTTCCAACCGAAAGTAACTGTGGATTGTAGAACACTCAGAAGATTAGAGATCCTTGCTGAACAGAGGTAGGAGAGCTAAACCATTTCTGTTATTCAGTGTAGAACTCATGCTTAGCTTGAAACTTTCAGTTTGAGTATGTAAATCTGGCCATGTTGTGACTGTGATATGAGTGTTATTTATCTGGCTTATTCTGGGAGATGCATGCTATGTTGTATGAAAGACTTAGCCTAATGGTATGATTCTCATGTGCTTATAATGTTTGTAAAACTTGGAATGATGATGAATTTCCATTATCAATTTGGATCTCACGATTCTGATGGAGAGAGTATACGGTTGTTGTATAATAATTCCTTGAACCATGCTATAATCATTCCAAGGGAGAATCCTTTCCTCTTAATAATCACGAAGGCCCTGTCAGATTGGCCATACCAAAGTGCTCTTTCCCTTTTAAAATTTTAATACCCACTTTAGGTAGCTTGACCACTGAATTCTATTTCTTTAACTACTCAAATTTGCAATCAATGACTTTTCAGTACACTTTTATCATGACCGTGAGAATAATTCCTTTTAAAATTTTCCAATGAAATGAACTTACAGTGGTGGTTGCAACAAATTTTCTTATTATATTATATAACAAATTTTCTGGTTATATTATATATATGTATATAAATATATTTGTGATGATTCAAGTTATTATTTTAGAATTATGAGTCTTGATACATCTTATTTTTTTAGACTATACTTCTTAAGTATTGATACGATAATATAAGAGTGACCAATGTTTTAGTTTTTTTTGGAAATCAAATTAAAATATAGTGTAGTCACTTTTCCTTATTTTAGTTTCTAAAAAGCTTGTAACATTATGTCGTGGTGTGAGTAAGATTAGCAAAAATGGAAAAGAATTGTTTTGTTTTTAATATTTGTTTTACTTTTCAATCTTTTTATCTTGGACAGGGTCTGGATATGGTTAAATGAGTGGGTTTCAGGGGGTTGTAGGGTCAAGTGCCTCTTTTTCAATGTTAGATGTCACCCTAGACTAATAAATTGTTACTTTTGACTGGTGAGATATTTATTAGAGGTCTATAGTTATAAAAGTTAGTCTCTTATGTTTGTCTTATTTTAGGTTTCTCTTTTGTTAAAAACATTTCTTATTTGTGGTTTTGGTTTGATCTTGGAATAAAAAAAGGTATAAGGTTGTTTATAGAATTGTATGAATTCATTGATGAATATGCATGTGTATAGTGATATATGAAATTGTTATGATGATGATGTGTTTGTTAATGGATATGAGCTTTTATGGAAAATATGATGATTGTAATTGATCACGGTATTACTTAATATGGATGAGTACAAATATGGGTGATTATTATGTATTTGGAATTTAATGTGGAATGATGTTTGTGGATGAAAATATGAGTTTAACGTAATTCCAAAAATCTTGCAGGAAAATTCTGTGATGACGTTCCTTTAGTGTATGCATTGATGTAAGGAGTCAGTACTAAAGGTTTATCCTGATACTTTTATAATGAATTATGTGATAAGAGGGATAGAAGGTCCTGTCATTAAGAACTACCTCAAGGTTCTTATGATGGTTAAAGTGATTGACCTTGTGTATGGTACGGTAAAACTCATTTGCAATGACTCTAGAGAGCATGAGAGGTCACCACAAGTACAAAAACCACCAAGAATCATACATTAATGCTTATATCTAGATAATTAAGTCTAGAGAGTTTGTAATTATATGTTTGATTTTTTATGAATGTTTGAAATACACTATTTTATGATGAAATTAGTTTAATTTTTATATAATTATTTCTTTTATAAATTAGCTTGCACTCTCTTGTGTTTGTTCTTCTTGTGTTTGTTGTTATTCTTTTGTAATGATCATCCTTACCTGCGTGAGTAGATGAGATAATAGGTGTGAGTTTACCTTGGAAGACAGGTTGATGCAACTATAACTATATATATATATATATATATATGATTGTAGGAGTTAGATGATTGTAATTATGTTAGTAGTTTTTAGTTCTTTAAAACTCTTGTATACTGTTATAATTATTTTGGATAACTATAATAGTATAATTAATTTGATAACTATAAACACTCATTTCTCACATGTTTTGTTCCACGAAGAAATAAAAAAAGTAACCCTCTTGTCCCACTTATTAATTTAATATTTTTTTTATCTCATTAGTCTTCATAGTAATTTTTTTTATTAAGATAGAAATAAAATTTAATTTTTTATAACTATATTAATTTTTTTATGAACATAAAATGAAAAGATAGTTTTCCTAAGTAATTTATAATTGTGGTTTGAATATCATAAATTTTTCTTTTAATAATTAGTTTCTTTATTTTTAATTAAATTAATCATTTATTTTTTAGTCTTGATTTTCTTTTATATATATATATATATATATATATATGAACAACAAAAGAGTGAAATTATCTTTTAAAAATGATAAAAAAGAAGCTATATAGGAAGATGAAAATAATATAAATTTAATTTCTTCAATTATTTTGAACACAATAATAACGACCTAATTATTTATTTTTATTGTATTATAGTGATAATGCCTAAATATATAAATTTTAAATATGTTATTTTGACTCAAACGATATCAAGATTCGGGAGTGTTCATCGGCAACTATTATAACATTACTATATTTACTATATGATATGTGTTCTTAGTTCTATAATATGTAGTAAGCATTCAATAAGATTAAAATTCATTTAATTTATACGGTATTTATTAAAAGTTTTACTAAAATAATATAAAGTAATGAACATAAACCTTAAATTAGAAATTGATTTATAAAATTGAATTAAATTTAAAATTTATTTTTAAACAGGTAGTTATAAAAATTATAAATAGTTTAACAATTTAAATGGTTGAAAAACAAAATCAAACTCTTATAATTTTATAATTTTACTTAGTAGGTAAACACACTTACAGGTTTTATTTAGGTAGGTCAAGTCACTTGCACGTTTCTCAATTTCTTCTTGATGTATAGAACCTTGAATCCGTTCCTATACATAATTATTGATCAACTTCCTTTTCTCACATTAAATATTTCCCAGTTTAAACTTAAGGTGAAAAACCATCAATGGGGTCAAATAAATGAGGAATAAGTGTTAGGTCATAAAGTCTTACCTACTTTAAATAAATAGAAAGATATAACTTATCACAAAAATACTTTTACATACCGATCATAAAAGTAAAAGGGTGATAAAAATATAAATGTTTATAATTTAAAAAAAAATAAAAAATAAGTAAAAATAATATCAAATATAAAAAGTTTAGGTATGTTAAAAAATATTTTTTTTAAAACCTACAAATTTATATTATCACAAAGAAGTATAAAATCTACATTTTTATAATATTGTATCTTGTATTTGAATTTTTAAAAATTTAAAACACTAATTTAATTATTCTACTAAATTTAAAAAGTTTATTTTTTAGTTTCAATATTCAAAATTTATTTATAACTCAAACCTATGACGTCAATATATTTCAACAAAGGTTTCTTATGATGAATATAGTCATTGATTGTAGATCCTATACATAACACCATGAACCTTCCCAGAAAATCGTCATCATGAACTCTTGCAGTTTTTGGCAACAAAATTCATTGGCATTGACAAAGAAGAAACTAGAACAGAATCAAGGAGTTACAACTGTACATGAATAATTTTTCTTTCTCTATATAAATGAATGGTTGGTGTTGCAAGATGCAACATCATAGTATCCACAAAACTGAGTTCAACCACAACCTAGGAATTCTAACATCCTCTTTCTCTTTTCCCTTCAAACCAAACCACTCACAAAATGGCAATTCCATCACACATAAAAGCTTGGGCTTATTCTGAATATGGAAACATAGAAGATATTCTGAAATTTGAATCTAACATACCTATACCACAGATCAAGGAAGACGAGGTGCTCATTAAGGTTGCTGCTGCAGCCCTTAATCCTATAGATTATAAGAGGGCTTTTGGCTATTTCAAGAACACCGACTCTCCCTTGCCGGTAAGGATTTCATTTGATTTTTCGTAATCGTGTGCATGCATGGTTTTAAAACCTTATTAATTTTCATTTTCTACCATGTAATAATATCTTATTCTTTTTTCGTTTTGCACTGTTAAATCTTGTATCTGGTGGCGGAAATTAATTTAGACTGTTCCGGGGTACGATGTTGCTGGTGTGGTGGTGAGAGTGGGAAGTGAAGTGAAAAAATTCAAGGTAGGGGATGAGGTTTATGGAGACATCAATGAGAATCCTATAAACAATCCAAAAAGTATTGGATCTTTGGCAGAGTATACTGCTGTTGAAGAAAAAGTATTGGCACACAAACCTTCCAATTTGAGCTTTGCAGAAGCTGCAGCTCTTCCTTTAGCCATCATCACTGCTTATCAAGGACTTGAAAGAATTGAGTTTTCTGCTGGCAAATCTATCCTTGTTCTTGGAGGTGCTGGTGGAGTTGGATCCCTTGTTATTCAGGTTTCATATATTTAATCATCTTTGGTTATTGAGAACATTGTCAAAACATTGTCAAACGATTTGTTGTGTATGTGTTTGATTATGCAGCTAGCGAAGCACGTTTTTGGGGCATCAAAGATTGCAGCCACAGCAAGTACTGGGAAACTGGATTTGTTAAGGAACTTGGGAGCAGACTTAGCCATTGATTATACAAAGGGGCAGCTTGAAGAGCTGGAAGAAAAGTTTGATGTAGTGTACGATACAGTAGGTGAGATATTGAAACTCTTAACCAATAATTAATATGCTGCAACAGTATACAGATAATATTGTATCAGATTTTGTGTAATAACATTATTGAAAAGTTTTGTATGATTGATTCCAAAATCAGGGCAGAGTGAGATTGATAGAGCATTGAAGGCTGTTAAAGAAAATGGGAAAGTTGTGACAGTAGCAGCACATGGAAGTCCTTCAGGTATCTTCGTAATACGCATTTCAGATGGTACTGTGTTGAAGAAACTAGAACCTTACTTAGAGAGTGGGAAGGTGAAGCCGATATTGGATCCTAAGAGTCCCTTTGCGTTTTCTGAGACTGTGGAGGCATTTGCATATTTGAAGACTAACAGAGCCATTGGAAAAGTGGTCATACATCCCATCCCTTGAGGATAAACAGATGAACTCAACCAAACTTGTGTAGAAATGCACTCAATAAACTCATCGGCTGTGGAAGTGGTTCTTGTTAGATGAGACAACATGTGTAAATTCATGAATATTTTGGAGTTGTGTTTGTTGTGAGAGTGAGATGTTCTGATTGTGTTTTGCTTGCAGTATAAATAAATAATAGTCTTTGTGTAATTGTAAGGTGAGATACTTTTATATTCATTTTACATATATCATTTTACATATAATATAAGGATAAAATATCATTATTAACATATGCCAATCTTATCTCATGTTTCTCTTGTCGAATTTATCTTAGATGAGTTTATTAAATTTATCTTCTATCGAGCTTGTTAAACTTGTGTTTTGTTGATAAGTTGTCGAGTTTGTGATAAGGTTGAATAGTGAAATATACAAAATTTTGGGTCAAAATAAAAAAAAATTGGCATTTCCTAGTTTCCAATCTCGAGATATCTTTTTAATTCATGTTAAAGATAAATAAAAAATTTCATCATAAATTCACATTAGTCGATTGTAATCCCATTCTATAATGAGAAATCCTTTTAATAAATAAATTGAGTATTTTAGAAAGTAGAAAGATTAAATTGAACCAAACAATAATAAGAAAACTAAATTAGATTAATTTAATAAATTAAAGACCAAATCAATAATTTAAATGTATTCAATACAATGTTTTATATTTGAAGTCATCTATTCGAATTTAAACTAAATTGTGTTTTGCTTGCAATATAAATAAATAATAGCCTTGTCCACCTTATATATATGTTTCTCTTCTCGAACTTGTTTCTAGTCGAGTTTACTAAGTTTGTGTTTTATCGAATTTGTTGAGTTTATCTTTTGTCGAGTTAATCTGTGTGCTGTTGTCGTCGACGAGTTTGTGATAATTTGGGATGGTGGAATATGCAGATTTTTGGATCAAAATGAAGAATTTGACATTTTCTGATTTCCAATTTCCAAATCTCTTTTTCGTTCATGTTAAAGGTAAATAAAAATTGTACATCATAAATCCACATCAGTCAATTATTGTAATCACATTTACGTTTTATAATGAATATCATCACTATTAATCATGTTTATTCTCAAATATAACAGAAAAAACTAAATTAAATATTTAAAAAAATTAAAAAAAATAAGTTGAATCAAATAATAATAAAAGTTCAAGATTTAATACTATTTTGATTTTTATATTTGTCAATTTTTTGTTCAAATGGTCATCAAGATTTTTAGTGTGTGATTTTATATTTTGTTAAATTTGTTTAATTTAATTATTTTTTTGTTAATTGTGTCTAAATGACGTAGTTTTTCCATTTTCTGAAAATGACTAAATTATACAAATTAAAAAAATATATTATTTTGAATGTTGAAAAAAAATTTAAGGATTAATTTAAACAAATAAAAAGAATCAAAATAATATTAAATAAAAAAAACACGAAAATTATTTTAAATAAAAATGACGAAAAATAAGTATTAAACCAAAAATAAATTAAATCTATAAGAAATGAGAAAATAGACTGTTAGAGTAGATAGTTGTATTAAAATAATGAAACCGAACACTTTGTATTAAAATAAGCCAATAGTATAAATAAAAATTTCAAACACTCGGTTCATTATCTAAATATTTTCTATCTCTCTAAAACACTATTTTCTTGGTGTTAAGAGTTTGTTGTTTCACTGATCAGTTTAGTGTTTAGAGCTGGTAAGTTTCGTTTCTTTTGATTCTTGTGGATTTCTGAAATTTCTGGCACATGCAAGAACATTTCTGTTTGCATGTGTTCAACAATCTTCTTTTCCCCTTTCTGACTTCATTTTGGTTCTACGGTTGATCTTCTTTCATCAATCGGTGGTTCATAGGTGTTCTTAGAATTTTCTTGAGGTGCAAGCAAATTTCTGAAGGTTGTAGAAGTTGTCCAGTTCTGTTAGAGGTAAGAGAAGCTAGTTAATTTAATTGATTGATGTGTTATTGAACTGTAATATTGTGTAATGTTTTGTGGAAATTTGCATGTGTATGTAATTGGGTAATCGTGTGATTTGTATGGTTTGTATGAGATAATATAACCCGTGACCATGTTAAACTATTCTACATTGAGTTGTTGGTGTTGTTTTATAGTGTGTTTGAGGAAGTGGAGTAGTAAAAATGGGGAATTGGGGTTAGGTGTTCAATTGGTTAGTGGGGAGAGCTTAGATGAGTTATTTACTACTTGTTAGAGTCCCTAAGTCACTCAAATTGTTCTAAAAACCAGTAGAATTGAATTTGAGTCCTTAAGTTGATGACGATGCAGTTTTAGATCATGAATCTGGTTGCAGAAACTTTAGAAATTATATATAAAGGATTAGAAACCCTTGGAATAATGTAATTTGGTATATGATACAAGTTTGGAGGAATAAAAGTTGGAAAAAATGTTAGGAATTAGTAAGGATAGGTGTAAGTTCATAATTCTGCAGTTGTACTGCAAAATTATGCATTCTTCTACGAGCGAGCCGTTTTCAGTCTTAACTGTGTTTTGCCTCAGTTGAGCCTTACCATTAATGAATGTTCAATCTTACATTAGTGTTTAGTAGTACACTAGCGTTCAATATTATACTAGTGTTCAGTAGTACACTAGCGTTCAGTCTTACACTAGTGTTTCGTAGTACACTAGCGTTAGGTCTTATACTAGTGTTTTGTAGTACACTAATGTTCAGTCTTACACTAGTGTTCTATAGTATACTAGCGTTCAATCTTATACTAGTGTTTCGTATTACACTAGTGCCCGATCTTACACATGTGTTCCGTATTACCTAATATTTGGTTTAAATATAGTTTTCAGTCTAGTTATAATGTTCGGCCTAGTTTTAGTAATCGGCCTTGTACTAGTGTTCAGTCTTACACTAGTATTCGGTCTTACACTAGTGTTCGGTCTAGCTATAGTGTTCGGTTTAGTCTTAGTATTCGGTTTGACTGTGTTCGGCCTATGTTGGGGCCTTACCGTTAACGACCGTTCGGTCTTGTTCATATGGGATGGATGTTTCCTCGTTCGACCTTTATATATATATATATATATATATATATATATATATATATTTATTCCAATGTGAAGTTTTAACTAATGGTTCCAGTTGCTTTAATGGCTTATGTATGAATAATCATGTTAGTGTTAAAGTGAAAGTATGTGGATAAAAAAGAAGTAAAAGTACGATTTTAAGTGAATCCTCTCGGTGAGGTTCAAGCATGTTTAGAATGAATACAGGAGCTCAGTCTTGGGGGTTATCCTGAAACTCCAATGACCTTTCATTCTATGTAGAGAGGATCAGACCAAGTCATGAGGAGTAGCAGGAGATCTTAGTCTTGGAGGCTTCTAGTATGCTTCAAGGCGTGGTACAAACTAACTTTGTGAGTGTGGTAGGGTGAAACTCGTTGACAATGACTTTGCAAAGCAGTAGAGGTCACCACAAGTGCACAACCCGCCATAACTCGACAATCATTCTAAGTCCGAACAGTTTAAGTCAGTGTTGTGTCAGGCATGTAGGGGCTTTGTGATGTGAATGAATATGTATGATTGTATGATATAAAGTAAACAAATGTATCATTATCTATTTAAATTACTCTAACTTACCCTGCTTTTCTGTGATGGTATTTTGTATGTGGTTGTGTTCTTTTCTTTGCAATGATCATCCTGTGAGCAGAGGGAAAAGATGTTTCTCTAGAGCAGGCCTTGGATGGAGATGATGCAGCAACATAAACTAGTTAGAAGAATATTGTACATAGTTTTGGTAGTAAACTAGTTGTATATAAAATTTAAATTTTATGGTTATTTTTAGATAACTGTAAGGTTAATACTTTATAGTGTAGTTGGATAACTGTTTTATTTTATTATGTATGTGATGACTCTTTTATATAGTATTTGACTATATTTATGGGAGGTTACAAACTTAATTTAAAAAATTAGAAAACTAAATTATTAATTAAACTTAAATAGTAAATGTATTCAATATAATGTTTTATATTTGAAGTCATCTATTCGAATTTAGATTTTATATTGAGTATTTCTAGTTTTTATTCTGAGAGTATCTGTATTTTTTTTTTGACATATCCTTGTTTTTTATGTTTTACACACACTCCAAAAAGATTATATTTTTACATCACTTGTGAAAAAAAAATTATTATTTTGTCTTTCTTTTAGGCTATGAAAATAAAGGTTTGAGAACTAAGCAAAATAATTAATGGTATGCAAGAAAAAAAAACATATTTGGGAAGCTACTTCCCCTTTCTTCCTCATCATTCTAGTTTCTTCTTTTAATCATTATCTTTAAATTCAAGTTGCATGCAGACGAATTTGCTAGGTCTTGATAATTTTTCTTAAGAATGAATATGGTAGGTGGGGTGGGGTTAGATTTGAAATAAATCGACCATTCAACTCCATAAAAGTTAGATTTAATGGAATCTAACAGTTAAATCCAACTCTCTTTTGATTATATTGAATTGAACTCAACGAATCATAGATTTTTTTTAAAATTATTAAAATTTATAATTTTAAAATATTTTTTCAAATTAAATAACTTATTAGTTGAGTTAAACCTCAATTATCCTAGGAAAGCTTTGCTGATCTTATGTACCACTTTTCTACGATGTTAATTGATTGGAGAAATTGTTTATAATATCTAGAAATCTTTAATATAAATTTTTCAAATTGTTAATTTGCACGTAACATAATCATGACTCAGAAAAATTCATTTTAATTTTTTATTTTTTTTCTCAATACATTATAAATATATAGTATTAACATTATAAAGGAAATATCACAATTAATAAAGTAGATCAAAATATAAAGTTATTTTTACAGTTGTTTCGGTTGAAATGGTTTGAGGGTCGGTCGTTCTTTCTTACTGAACGCAATCCACTCCGATGGGTTGTTGACCTATAGAAGACATTCCAACGCTCAAATCAGATATGTTTCATAAAAATGTCTCTATTTTATTAGAATAGAAAAATATGTCTTTACCTGGGGCATCAATCGTATATTTAGAGGGTGTGTGGCAGGCAAGCCCATTTATTAACCATTAGTACAATATATTTTTAGGTAATCAAACCCAATAATCAATACCGCATATTAATACCTGTTAACTGTTCATAAATCTCCATTAATTTCGATCGTTATATTTCATATAATACATAAGCCCATTGATTAACCATTAGT